GGGGTCGTGCCGGGCGATCCCTGCAGTGGCCGGGGGGTGGTGGGGGTGGTGTCAGCTCTGCCGTTTTGGGGTGTCCCGAGGGGACAGGCTGCCCTGGGCTGAGCCCCCCGGCCCGGCCGAGCCCCTGGGCCGCGATGCTGCACGGGGCAGCCGGGTGGGGGTGCGGGGGAAGCCGCGGCAGCCTGTGTAGGCACAGATTTCCCACCGAAACGTTTGTTTTTATATCAGCTTGGGGGGAAAAAAATCAACCTGTGGTCAGGGCATGCTCTAAGTTGTGGGGTAATCGCTGCCCTCGGCCCCCCGTCCCTCTGCACACCCTGGTTTATCCATACACACAGGCACACGTGCAGGAAAACAATTTACACAGCATGTTCAGATGCTTTCTGGAAGGGGAGGGTTTTAGCTTCAAATTAGGAAGCTCTCTCAGATGAACGATAAATTTCTCTTTGGTCAGGCTACGGTGTTTGATCGTATCTTTGTGTTTTTGTCCCCACCACAAAGGGACCCAGAGGCTGAAGCAAGAAATAGGATTTCAGATAGTTTGATTTGACATAAGGAAACTGTTGCGTTTGTAATATTATAACACTCTGAAGGGGAAAAATGAAACCTCTGCAGCTGAGACAAGGAGTGTGCTTAAGTACCACTATGTTTCAATCCCCATTTGGATATAATTTAAGACTCCTCTGGCTTACAGTAATATACTCTCCAACCTTGAGGCTATCCAAAAGGGGGGATTTAATGAGGCCCAGTTTATACACTTATATAATTTAGAGGTTTCGCTGTAGCTGTAAAATGACAATTGGTACATGTGTAGTGCAAAGGAGCTGAAATCCCATCCAGGGACCAAGTTGGTTATTTCTGAAGGAGCTGTCATTTCCAGCAGGGGGGACACAATGAGAAGGCCAGGAGCGATGGAGCTCTGATCTCCACCAAGGAGAGATAACCACCTGATTAAAATAGGCCTGTTGTTCCCTCGTTACTCGATCGTCGTGTGAACTTACCTTATTTACAATTATAGGCAATGAGTGAGTCGCCAAGACTGCAATACACCTATAGCTTTGGGTTTACCCCTCCCTTTGTTATCAGGACCATCTCTTGGACAGATTTCTGGACCACTTATAACAAGGGAGCACAGAAACGCTCCCAGGGACAGAGGGGATGCGTACGTTTGAACCATATATACGAGCGCAGCGTGTACATCCCCCCACTGGGAACCAAGCAAGGGGCTGGGCCCAGCAGAACCAGGCTGTCGAAATCAGGATATTTAGAGTTCTCAGCCACGCGCAAACACCATCAGAAATCAAAGGGGCACTGCACTGAGTGAAATACTATTTTGTGCTTGGCATCTGGTATTTGCTCACTTTCCAGGTGAACCCAGGCACGGCAGCTGTCGGAGGACACCCTCTGGAGTGACCAATGGAATTGGACACCGATGTACCTCTCTGCTGAGATTTAATGCACTTTGTTCTCCGTTTTAATATTAAACGGCGCAGTGTTTGCCAGATTATTATCCCACTATTGCTTGTGCATTTGTCTCTTATGTCTAGTGTCTGTCATTACACAAAGCGTTTTGAAGAGCTAATTTCAAAAGACAGAAAGTCTACACTTAGTATAAAAGTCATTAAATTAGCATGACAAGCATAAAGTTCCTAGGTTATAATTTGGTTATAGATCTGAAATCTTCCCGGCTTTCTCTCTCCACTTGAAGGATGAAGGCTGCAGCAAGGCACTGACTCGAAGTTAGGACAATTGAGCTGCAGAACAGGGAGGAGATGCGGGCTCCATCACCACCTCTTTCGCAGTGCAGTGGGTGACAAGAAAGATCTCTGATTTCCCCTCACATCTCCCAGCACCCAGAGCAAGGTGTGATCAGATGGTCTTCTACTACAACAGGTGGGAACAAAAAATTAAATACATCTCGATGCATTTCTCATCGATTAAAATGTTGCTGGAATAGCAGGAACCGCTCTGGCCGTTTAGATCCCACTACATGCTAAGATGGGAAGATGTGTTATACAAGCCGCCATTGGCTGTTTGCGCTAAAGCTGCAACGCGTCCTATTTGTGTTAATCGCTTCTTCATTTCGGGAGAAAGCTGGGGAGGGGAAGGGCAGCTCCTGCCAGCTCGGTGCGTCCCGGCCCCGGCCGGGGCTCCGGGGGGGCCCTGCCCGGCCCCCCTCCCTGACAGCCTGCATTTCGACAGCGAGAAAATTGGAGAAGAGACGGGGCATTCGAACGCGATGCTCGCAGAAGAGGTTGCCCTGGTAGTTATTTAGGCTAAAAATCGGCTGTCAACTTTTTTTTTTTTTCTTTCCTCCGCCAGGATCAGCAAGGTGTGTTTCTGTGGGCTGATTTGTTTGCTTTTAACCAGGCACGCTGCGAATTGTGGAAGCTTTCCGTTTACCTTTTCTTCTTTAAGCGTTTTAATTATCATCACTGACCTGTTGGGCATACCTACAGTATCAATGTCCCTTTTACATCGCTGCCTTCCCTTTCTCTGCATGTTTCTGCTATTTAACACTTGCTACCTTTGCCATTAGAGTCCTAGAGTGACCCCCATGGGTATCTTTGAAAGAAAGACCCTCTGCATTCCAGCACTGCCTCCTTACCCAAGTAATAGCAAAGGGACCATTCAGACACATGGACCACACTGAAGCATTAATTAGGCTGATGAAATCCATAGAAATGTATGGATTCAGCATAATCGAGTTTCTTCTGCTGACTATAGTTAAGGAATACGTGAGCAGCTGGGAGAATAGAAAGTACTGTTAGGGTGAAGTCATGCATGTAATTGAGTATATTTAACATAACCATTTTAATGATCGGTGATTAAAAGTGCATCTACTTAAATTGTATACCTCTGCAATTTGTCCATATCAACTTTAGAGCACACACAAAGAAAAGGTCGTCATATAAATTTATAAACAAGATCCCTTCCTGGCTACACATGACTCGAGCTGGAATGATAACTCGGCAGCAGCAAGGGGGTAAAAGGCCTTTCGCGAGAAAACAGCTACGCCAGTGTGATATTAATTAATCACTGGTTTGGCCCCCTTTCTCTCCTAGGCAGACACAGTATTAGAAGTGCATAATAAGTGAGTTTTCATCCGTAATTATTTATAACAATTAGATCACTCGGGGAAAAAAAAAATCCTTGGGTTTCTTTCCCATATTAAAGGAGTATCATCTTTTTCCTCGCTTGACAATATTATGTGTAAGAGTGTGTGCGTGTACATATACTTTTTTTTTTTTTTCCCCTACAGAAACGTTGCCGGACACCCAGCAAAAGAACGATAAAGCTTCGAACTTCTCCCCTCGCTAAACTTCTAGGCGGAGAGGTAAAGGACTGGAAACACGGGCAGTGTTTGGGGGAGACGGAGCTGATGGGCACGGCCGTGTCTCCTCGCAGGAGAGCCTCGCAGAATGGGAAATTAGCAGTCGAAATCTGCTAGTGGGGACTAGATCCCACAAAGCCCACGCGTTGGGAAGGCTGAGTGTCTCTCTCTCGCCTATTCAATCTGCCCAGGCTGGTTGCAGCGAATAAATAGAGTCATTGTGGAGCCCATACACAAACCGACCCAACTCCCTCCCCCATCCCTCCTGCTGAAGCCCTGGAGCTGGTGGGTCTCCGGTGTTCGTGGACTCTGCTGAGTTAATCTGCGTGGAAGGCCTTTCCTCTGGCCATCGATAAACCCCCGGTTTAGGGAGCAAACCCGAAGGGTGCTGCAGGGGAGCAGCCCGGTTGGAGGGCGGGAGGGTCGGTGGGACAGAGAGGAGGGACCCCCCTCCTGGGCCCTCCCGCACCCTGCCCCTGCCCTGGGACCTCCACCCGCTGCTGTGCCGGTGCCTCCTAGCAATCAGGGAGCATTTTTGGGGG